TTCAAGAAAAGGGAACACTTATGCATAGTTGGTATGGATGTGAATTGCGTAGCCACTATGGAAAACTGTATGGAAGGTCCCAAAAAAAGTAAAAATAGAAGTATCATATGATCCAGCAATCCATCTTCTGGGTATTTATCTGAAGAAAATGAAAACATTACTTCAAAAAAAAATATAGGCACCCCGTGTTTATTGCAGCATTATTTATAATAGCCAAGATATGGAAGCAACCTAAGTGTCCAGGATAGGTGGATGAAGAAGATGTGTAGGTACACACACATACAACACACACCCTCACATACAATAAAATACTACTCAGCCACATAAAAGAAGGGATTCTTGCCATTTGCACAACATGATTAGTCCTTGAGGGCACTAAGCTAAGTAAAATAAGTCAGGCACAGAAAGAAGACAAATGCTATATGCTCTCACTTATATATAGAATGGAAAAACAAAACAAACAACAGCAACTACAAATACCAAACAGAGATCCAGAGAACAGATTGGTGGTTGTCAGAGGTTGAGAAGCAGTGGAGGGTGGGAAAAAGGGACGAAGGGGGTCAAAAAGTACAGACTTATAGTCATGAAATAAGTCATGAGGGTATAATGTACAGCACGGTGACTGTAGTTAATAATACTGTATTGCATATTTGAAAGTTGCTAAGTGAGTAAATCTTAGATTGTCTCATCACAAGAGAATAAAAAAACACTTTGTAATTATGTATTATGATAGATGATAACTAGGCTTTTTGTGGTGATTATATTTGCATTTGTGTATACAAATATTGAACCATTATCTTGTACACCTGAAACTAATATGTTATATGTCAAATATAAAAATAAATAAAGGATGGAAAGATTACAAAATAAATGTTAGAGCAGAACTAACTATCCTAAGAAGAAAAAAAGGTGGAGGTGGGCAGTGGGACTTGCGGTCAGAAAAATTTGGTTCTGGTCTCAGAGCTGTCATTTCTAAAGTGAAACCCTGAGCAAGCACTTTCCCTCTCTTTATACCTTTTATCGTATCTTTAAAAGAAGTTGGTAACAACCCGCGTTGCCACATTGTCCTGAGGGCTAGATGAAGCGATGAAGGTGAAACATTCCATAAACAGTAAAGTGCTTTCCAACTCAAGATTTTTCTCAAAAAACTTATTTCAGAGGTAGAGCTATGAACTAAAGAAGAACAAAGGGTTAGAAGTTCACCCACTCAGAGCCAGCTTTTGTTGAGAAAACTGTGCAGACCCTCCTTTTGGATGAGAGTGAAGCCCATGACTCTGAAAGGAGGGGGTGCTTTATGCCTGGTGAAGTGTCTTGTGAACACGTGTCTCGCGTCTTACAGACTCAACCCGGCAGTGGGGGGGGGAGGGGAGGCAGTGTTGTTGTTTTTTTTTTTTTTAAGATTTTGTTTATTTGACAGACAGAGATCACAAGTAGGCAGAGAGGCAGACAGAGAGGCAGAGAGGAAGGGAAGCAGGCTCCCTGCTGAGCAGAGAGCCCGATATGGGGCTCGATCCTAGGACCCTGGAATCATGACCCGAGGCGAAGGCAGAGGCTTTTTTTTTTTTTTAATTTTATTTTTTATAAACATATAATATATTTTTATCCCCAGGGGTACAGGTCTGTGAATCGCCAGGTTTACACACTTCACAGCACTCATCATAGCACATACCCTCCCCAATGTCCATAATCCCACCCCCCCCACCCCCCTCCCCCCATTAACCCTCAGTTTGTTTTGTGAGATTAAGAGTCACTTATGGTTTGTCTCCCTCCCAATCCCATCTTGTTTCATTTACTCTTCTCCTACCCCCTTAACCCCCCATGTTGCATCTCCTCTCCCTCATATCAGGGAGATCATATGATAGTTGTCTTTCTCCGATTGACTTATTTCGCTAAGCATGATACCCTCTAGTTCCATCCACGTCGTCGCAAATGGCAAGATTTCATTTCTTTTGATGGCTGCATAGTATTCCATTAAGGCAGAGGCTTTAACCCACTGAGCCACCCAGGCGCCCCGGAGGCAGTGTTTTTGTTCCTGGTGTAGCAGTTTGTGTACAATGGTAGGAGAAGCCAAGGAGGAAAAGGGGAAAAGGGGAACTTGCTAAAGGAAACTGAGAGAAATACAAATGTGGTCCCCACTGAGTTTAGAAAAACACTCTCAGAGCTTTCTTAAGATGGCTTCTTAAAGCCATCCCAGCCCAGGGATTCAGTGGAAAGAACTGTCACAGAAATTTAGCCTCATCAGGTCTACAACCCAGATTTCTGTGACATTGTTTTTTACTTACTGCTCTTCAGTACCCGGCAGCACCGTATAAACAAGACTCAACTCTTCTGCACCTCTCACTCCCTTTCACTCTCTGTGCTGTGAAAGATACAGAGCAAACCTGTGGGAAAAAAAATCAAAATTACAGACAGCTATTACCAAAAAAAAAAAAAAAAAAAAAATCTGTCCGATCCATTTATATATTCTTTTTTTACTTTTATCTATGTTTTATAATTTGAGTAAAAAAAAAAATTTTCCCTACATTTGGAAAGTAGATATGGCTTATTGTCAAGCTCTGATGGTTTAATTAAAGTACACACCATTTAAAGGGAATATATTTCAGTAAACAACTTTTGCCTCATTAGTCTTTGAATTCCCTGGAACTTTATATTGTAAGGGTATCATTTTATTTGTATTTGAAAAGGCATTAACAAATTGAACAGAAAAGTTTATTCATATGGAAAATGTCTTCCCTTATTAGATTTTGGGGAATTCTTCAATATGACAGGGAGAGAATCTATGTGACATTCTTCATTTGTGAAGGAAAAATGAATTCTATCTTCCCTGCAAAACTTCACTTTTTTCATATGCTGTGCTTTTTAACTATTTAACAGACACCATTTGTTTCACTTGTTTTGGGAATCAAAGCAGTCTTCCAAATTCTATAATAAAGATGACTTACCCATGTTCCTTCTAGTCCACTCAGTTTATACAGAGACGACTCTTGGTTATGTGTAATAATGGAGTAAATTTTATTTTTATCTTTTTATTGTGGTTAAACATATGTAATAAAATCTAAATAATGAAATAAAAATATAATAAATAATAAAACAAATAATAAAATATATGTGCTATGAAATTTGCCATTCTATCTCTACAAAGGTTTGGCTTCGGTTAGCATGTTTCTCCTTCAAAACCATGTTTTTCTTCTCTTCCAGAGCTGCTGGAACATGACAGAATAAAGATTTGATTTTGATTTTTCTTTTTCTGAATCTGATAGAGGCAACTGACCATGTAGGGGTGAAAAATGGACCACCAAAGAGTTTGGGAGAGAAGCTACAGGCCTGACTAAGCTAAAGGCCAGCTCCAGAATCAATAAGCAAATATACTTCTAGTATGTTAAATACAGAAAATACATATACACATAAGACATAGTCCTGATCTCAAACAGATGTTTATGTAGGTGAAGAATTGTAATACATGCGCATGAAAAATAATGATAGAAGAAAGTAAGAGTGTATAGGGTAGTAAAGAGCATAGGTGCTGTGGACACAAGGAAGGGAGAGAACAATGAAATGAGGTGGGAAAGTTCTAGAGAGATGGCTCAAAGCCAAACCTGGCAGCATCTCCAGACTTTAAGTAGATCACAGAAAGCTTGTTAAGCAGGAGGAAGAGCATGGTCATGGGTGCACAGGCAGGATTTAGAGGATCTTGACTTATTTTCAAATTATGGTCTACTGTTTCCTTCATAATTCTCAGGAGAGATTTTTCCCCATGTGTTAGAGGTGGAGACAGTCCATCTCTCCTATCACTTGCGGTGAATGTGCCCCATGCGGTGGTTAGCATTTCCTCCCGGGTAATCCATGGTTCAGAGTCATCACGTGGTCTTAGCTTCCCTTCTTCCCATGTAAAAATGTGGGTCCCTGGGGTACCTGGGTGGCTCAGTGGGTTAAAGCCTCTGCCTTTGGCTCAGGTCATGATCTCAGGGTCCTGGGATCGAGCCGCACATCAGGCTCTCTGCTCAGTGGGGAGACTGTTTCCTCCTCTCTCTCTCTGCCTGCCTCTCTGCCTACTTGTAATCTCTCTCTCTCTGTGTCAAATAAATAAATAAAAAATCTTAAAAAAAAAAAAAAGAATGTGGGTCCCTCCTAGTCAGGTACTGAGTTGTTCTTTGGTTTTCATCACAGAACATCCATTCCACATGCAAAGTGCTCACATTAGTAGCAACCATAACCGTAATAGCATTACATGCTAAAAGAAGAAGTAGCAGAAGCAACAAAACAACAAAAAGACATTAGCATGGGAGAGTCAGTATTGTCAGGGGGATTTGAGTCTGCGTGCTTCTGAGAGGTTCCAGAAATGAGTTTTGCTGAACCATCTATTCCGAGTCGTCCAGCCCTTCTTTCTACACTGATTCCCATTTGTGAATGAGCTGGTTTTCTGCCATAATAAATAAAGTGGGTGGCTTAGCCTGTTTTTATCTGTGAAAACCTAACTGGATAAATAAAAACAAAACATTTAACCTTATTCTCATCAGCTCCATGGCCTAATGAAGTTGAAATTACAGGTCCTTGTACAAAAATCACTTACATTCCTTTAAAAGCATAGACAAGCGATTGAAGAGATGAAACGATTCTGAATAGGCACTAATGATCTTACTCATCATTATTCGAGTTCTAATACATTTGGTAGTATTACTGGGTCATAGATCTTCATATCTGCACAAGAAGCCGCCTGGTTTAGTGAAAATTATTCAAGCAATAGAGACACATCCAGGATTGAAAACTGTTACCTTCTGGTTTTTATGACAAATTACTTAGATGCCTCTGATCCTTAGTTTTCTTGTCTGTAATGAGAGGTTAATAATAGAACCTACTTCATGGGGTTGTAATGAGGATGGAATTAATTTATATATAAAGTCCAAGTTCATACTTAGTAACTGACAGCTATTACTAATTTTTTTTCTCATAGTAATTAAGAAACACCTCCTTAAAAGTCATTCCCTTTGTGCCTTTTATAGCATGAGAAGCTGATGCATGAATTGGAAGAGGAGAGACACTTACGTCTTCAGAGTGAGAAGCGGTTGCAGGAGGTGACACTGGAGTCTGAGCGCAACAGAATTCAGATGCGTGGCCTCCAGCAGCAGTTCTCCAGGTATTGTTCTGAACTGAGCTGCTTGATTCAGGAGGGGCATCCCTTCCTGCACCCAAAGTCCCCAGCTTGAATTTCCATTGTGAAAGCATCTGTTGAATTTGAGGAGCTAATTTACCTACAGCTTAGACCTTCTCCTCTGGCCACACCATCATATGGCATCTGGGCCAGTTTGTTGAAAACTTGCTCTTTGCACCTAGCAGAGTCTTGGCTTTATTGGATCTGGTTATCTTTTCTTCCTTGATGGGTTTCCAAGGGATTTTTCCAGGAAGATGTGGTGGCTGTGTGGCTTATAAGAATGTCCCTTGAAAGGCCAGCCGGGAGGATGAAATTTTACCAGTCATCATAATTCTATTTTAAGGAAGACAGAGAATGTGAATCTAATCATTCAGTAAGCTCTTACTCAGTACTTAAAGTAAACCTTTACCGATAGTTTAAAAAAAAATCAAAATCAATGAGTTTTTCCTTTAAAAAGACTTAACTTGAGTTTGAAATTAGCATTCTGAAAAGTAGCTCTTAGATTTAATTCCCACACAGTCAGAATCTTTCAGCTTCCAGTTACAGTTACTGTGGGGCCGGGTGAAGGTTCAACCTATTATTTAAATATAACCTATTTATTTAACCTCTCTGTGCTATTCCAGTCCTGGGACCAGATATGAGAATTCTGTGAAGGACAATTTTCTTTCTTTCTTTTTTTTTTTTTAAGATTTTATTTATTAGACAGAGAGAGACATAGCGAGAGAGGGAGCACAAGCAGGGAGAGTGGGAGAGGGAGAAGCAGGCTTCCCACAAGGAGGGAGCCCAATGTGGGGCTCAAACCCAGGACCCTGGGATCATGACCTGAGCCGAAAGCAGATGCTTAATGACTGAGCCACCCAGGTGCGCCAAGGGCAATTTACTTTCATTTATGTATTTCACTCACCATTTCCCAAATCAGGAAATTAATTTGGGGGGTTTTTGTTTTTTTCTCCCTCATGAGGTTGTCTCAGGCTGAATCAAGTTTGAGAAGTAGCCCTAAATTTTTTCTGAGCAATCTATGTGGATCTTGACTTTAATTTACCACTGGGATTTGGATATAATCAATGATGGATAATATGGCTTCCTCATTATGAACCTTTTATAATGATAGCTTAAGTTTTGGATGTGTCGCACAGAGAAACTGAAATTGAGCCTCCAGATGTCTTATCTCTTTGTGACTAATACCATCAGTGCTTGTGACTTTGGTTTGGAGGCTTCTTGGAGGAACAGGGTAGAAAGGATGGATGATCCCCTGTGTTCAGAGTCATAATTTAACACCCTGTTCCACTCTCTGAGCCCATATACGCAGGTGCTATAGAAATGCACCAATCAATACTTTAAACAAATGCAGGTCCCGCCCTTCTCAGGCTATTACTTATACAACTTTGTACTCGATTTTTCATTTGGTTTGATGGTAACTCTCACTTTATGTCTCCCAACTTGAAATAATAGACCCCCCCCACACACATGCTTTTGAAGCAGTTCTAAAACAAGCCCTGCTTTGTCATACTTGCCATTTTAAGAATATAGGAAAGGAGGAGGTAGATTGCCCTACCCTTGTGTTATCTAATTGAGATGTCTCTGTATTCAAGCTATTGATTTACTGGGTGTGAGACACATGGCACAGTAAATTATTTTCATATGATGCCAGGTCATCTGCTGTAAATCAATGACACCCATACAGAGTTGTGTTGCACAGGAGTCAAGGCTGCATCCTAGACTGAATGAGAAGATAATTATATGTAGAACAAATAGTGTTTGGTTTTATATACTACATTTCCCCCTGCTATCATCAGTTTCCTTATGTAAAGCTTCACCGGAACTGAAGAATTCAAGTCCAGTTATAGCCAGACAACTAATGCAAATTAGCAAAGGTGGATAAAAAAGCATATATCACAGATAAGATAATTACACAAAGGAAGAGAGGGAAATAAACCAGTAGAGTCTCTTAATGATAGAGAACAAACTGAGTGTTGGCCGAGGGAGGTGGGTGAGGGGTGGACTAGATGGGGGGGGATGGGTATTAAGGAGGGTACTTTTTGTGATGAGTGCTGGGTGTGTATGTAAGTGATGAATTTCTGGATTCTACTCCAAAAACCAATATTGCACTGTATGTTAACTAAATAAAATTAAAAAAAAAAAAAGAAAAGAAAAAAATGAGCAAAGGGGGGAAAAGAAAGAGAGAGAGGCAAACCAAGAAACAGACTCTAAATTATAGAGAACAGGGGCACCTGGGTGGCTCAGTGGGTTAAAACCTCTGCCTTCAGCTCAGGTCATGGTCCCAGGGTCCTGGGATCGAGCCCCGCATCGGGCTCTCTGCTCAGCAGGGAGCCTGCTTCCTCCTCTCTGCCTGCCTCTCTGCCTACTTGTGATCTCTGTCTGTCAAATAAGTAAGTAAAATATTTTAAAAAAATAAAAAAAATAAATAACAGAGAACAAACTGATGGTTATCAGAGGGGAGGTGGGTGGGGGGATGGGTGAAATAGATGATGGGGATTAAGGAGGGCATCTGTTGTGAGGAGCCCTGGGTGATGTATGGAAGTGTGGAATCACTGTATTGTACACCTGAGACTAATATTAACCTGGATGCTAACTAACTGGAATTTAAATAAAAACTTTTAAAAGGAGATAATTACACAATAGTTTAAGTAGGCCCACTACACCATTTTTGATGGCCTTTTGCATTTTAAACTTTGGTTTGTAAGATACTTCTTGTTCTATTTATTTAAACAATCCTGTTACTATAATTTAAGTCTTTATAGAATTCTCCTTATTATAGAACATGTATATAGCTCATCGCCCTTGGACATGGTCCACCTCTAAATGCTCACATAAATAATTTCCATATTCCAAATAATTGTATTGAATTTAAAATGTTTACCTTCATAATTTTCTCCTTTTCCCTGGGTCAACAAATTCATTTTGTACATGATGCTCCCTGACATTTAGGGTTACTTTGAGTATTGTTTATGGAATGAGTTTACTTTGAAAACTAATGCTAGTAGCCCACGTTTTCAAAGGATGTGAAAGTGGATTACAATAAAAGGTAGCTTCACAATACAACTAATAAAATGAAAAATAGAAAACAAAAGCCACAAAAGGGTAGTATGGCAAGTAATCATACTTACACGGCCTGTCGTGTTTTCTGAGAGTGAGCATGTGACTTAGTTCTAAGATTCCTGGCAGAGAAGATTAAAAGGAACAGACAAGAGCCTATGTAATTGTTATCTCCTAGACAAAGGCTACTACTCCTCAGGGAGAGAAACATTGTCTCTGGTAACAAACTCATTCTAGAACGTATCCATTGACCCCTTCAGAGATGGCCCTGAAGGATATCATAGACAATCGTCCAAAATGGCGTAGAGTAGCATTAATTCATAGGTAATGGTACTTCTACAAGGTCACGTACATCTACAAAGTTAAGGGATTTCTGAATGTCACAGTGCTGGTCTGATGAACCTGGAGCACAGAGGCATGAGATGCTGAGGCATAGACAGAGCTGTAAGAAATATTTTCCTGGTGTAGTTGATGGTGGTGTCGCCATGCAGGCATCTAAATGGGAGTGAAGGAGATTCTAGAGTCTCAGGTCCAGGGAAGAGGTAAGATTTGGAGGGGAAAGTGGATAACAAAGTTAGAAATGGGAACAAATAGGTGTATGTGCAAAGTAGAGTTCAGGTGTCAGAATGAGTGCCGCAAGGGAAATTAGTCCAAGGCTTGATTTTATGCAGTTTCAGTGAGGTGACAAGCTTGGTGGCTTAAAGGCATCGGGCAAACTTGAACATTGTGATTATCTGTGGTGATGAGTAAGGGGGTCACTTAGGTGATAAAAATCTATAAAAATGTTTGAGTGAGTAGTTCTCTTTTATGTCACCACCAAACCTTCATTTATAATCTCCCTTTCCCTCTTAACCTCTGATTAGGGTGTAATGATCAGCAGTGGTTCAAAATTTGGGCAAAAGAGAGAGAGAGATGTGACCAGAGATTGCATCATCAGCTCTAAGCTCATAAATCAGAAATTGCCTGCACTGAGGGTGATTCAGGCAGCCATAACAAGCCCAGTTCAGACCATTTACAACCTTTCATCTAAATACAGTGAAGAGAAGAGATACTTTCAAATTAAGCCTTCCCCATACACGAAGGAGCATTTCAGTAGGGTGGTACTGGCAGGCAAGCAAAAGTGTCAGTAGGGTTTCTTTGTCTTGATATTTGTTGATATAAGTCGAAGTTGCTTTCCAGATGTCATAATGATATTTTAACCTGTTGTCTGAGTGATATACATGGCTGGGCATAGTTTATGTGGGAATAGCTTTGTGCCCCACCCTTCTATGATTCTGTCTCTACACTCCCTTTAACTGTTCATTTGAACTATGCATGTCTCACCAGCCAGGGTTAATGATGTGAGTGTGGCTATGTCACTGCCTTCCATCCTATGTAAAGATGAGTGTTGGCACCCCCAATGTCATTACTTTGAGTGAATGAGGTTGTTTGTGCATCAGTTAGGTTCACCTAGACAAGTAGTTCAGGAACACTCTCTCCAACCAGGTGGGCTCTATTGAGGTAGAATAACAATGATTAAGAAAAGGGGCACCTGGGTGGCTCAGTTGGTTAAGCTTCCGCCATCAGATCAGGTCATGATCTCAGAGTCCTGGGATCAAGTTCCACTTCGGGCTTCTTGCTCATCAGGGAGCCTGATTCTCTCTCTGCCTGCTGCTCCCCCCTGCTTGTGCTGTCTTTCTCTCTCTCTCTGTCAAACAAATAAATAAAATATTTTTTAAAAAAACCGAAACAATGGGGGCACCTGGGTGGCTCAGTGGGTTAAGGCCTCTGCCTTTGGCTTGGTTCATGATCCCAGGGTCCTGGGATTGAGCCCCGCATCGGGCTCTCTGCTCAGCAGGGAGCCTGCTCCCTCCTCTGTCTCTCTCTGCCTGCCTCTCTGCCTACTTGTGGTTTCTGTCAAAATAAATAAATAAAATCTTAAAAAAAAA